CATATAATGTGCAAGTTTTCAGAATTGTATCTAAATTATTATTGGTGTTAAAAATATAAAACATTATTTTACGTTTTATTTACATTTTTAAATGTTTTTGGCTCTTTTATCTATTGATTTATACTCGTGTGCATTTTTTATTTTGACAGTAAAACTTTTATAAATCTCCATTTTTCCGTTGTTTTACGGTCCCTCTGTGTATCAAACCCAACAGGAAGTGCTTTGATTTTGTCCACAAGTGACATTTTCCTTCCTGCCCGTCTCTTTCCATCCTCCCTCCTTTAAACACGTTTATTAGTCTCTCCTCCAGGAAAAGGTTCTTCCTAAAGTTAAAGGTTACGTCTCGTTCAGCTCCTAGTTTTATCTGCAGCAGCTGGCTTCACGTTTAAAAGARCAAACAGGGAAATAAAGTGAAGCAGATCTTTATTTAACCAAGAAGATCTCAGTGAAACGAATCACTTCTTAAATGGATTAAGAGTTGGAACATGACACAAATAAAGTACCACACCAGGCTGTAGCTGAGTGTAAATGAWCAGATTTAGTTGTTTCTGTTAAAACACACCTGTGTTGAATGTTTGTTCAGGAGATGAAGCGTTGGTCCGACAGTAAAGAGGTCGGTGCCCTCCATTTCCTCTGCCATGTGCACATTAATGTTTATCCTCTGGATTTAAATAGCTGCAGATTATAAAAGGATAAGAATAAAGTTGCTCAGAAAGAGCTACGTTTTGGTGTCTTGAATGAAATTTAAAAAAAGTTAAATGTGTTGAAGGAACTCTGTGACCGATGTGTCGTCTGTAACAAACAGGGATCAGTGTAACACCACGCTCKGTGTACTGACAGGTTTTTTTTTTCTCTTCTTGTCCTGCAGGGTCTTTAGTGGGTGTCGGTGATGTCATCTCCCAACAGCTGATTGAGAGGAGAGGATTAGYTCATCACAACGTGCGGCGGACAGCCCGGATGATGACTATAGGGTTCTTCTTTGTGGTAAGTTTGGATTTTCAACTCATTTACTCCGAATGTGATAAAATCTGCAGACTTAGTTACAAACCTTTACTCTATTTAAAAAAAAAGGGTCCAGTAATCGGCAGCTGGTACAAAGTTTTGGACGGGTTGGTGGTGGGAGGAAGTAAGAGTGCAGCCATGAAGAAAATGCTGGTTGACCAGGTGAGAGACGTCTAAACCCTAAATTCACTCTTCCTCCTGTTAATGTTCAAAAATTCAATAAAACTCTTCTAACAAAGTCATCAGGGTTTGACAGTTTTAAACCAGTAACTAACCACAGAGAACGGTTAAGTTTTCAGCTGATGAGTTCAAACCTTCAGGCGTTATTTAGAATTCTTAACCTGTGGCCCACAGCGCCACCTTGAGGGCCTCAGAAGAACAACAGTTTTTAACTTTGGACCGCAGAGGGCCGTGGGACCACATTGATTTAAAATAAGGTGTAATACACTTTCTCACCACTAGTAGCAGTAGTGCACCACTCAGATGTTTAACAACTTTTTAATATG